GCTTGGTACACAACATGACAATATGACAGCTAGCAGAGAGGATCTATTTCTCAAAAAAACACTGTTTCTTCAGTTTTCTGGAACTGGTTAGGTTTTTGAACCTCAGACTTGGAGCAACAATCACCTCACTGCACAATCTGTTTGAAGGCTCTTGCTACAAAAAGGAGTACAACAAATTTGTTTCGACACCTGAAACAGAGGCACTCYRTTARGTGGGAARCAAAATMGATTAAAATCTAATTTAGGATGAAAAAAAATCTGAGATATTTTTTTTTCGGCCATGTCGCCCAGCCCCATCTTAAACTGTCGTCTTACATCTGTGGAATCAGCTAAAACACAATAGTCTCATAGCCCTAACCTACAACCCAAACACGGACAGTAAGCTGTAACAACAAATTCAAAAAGAGAACATCAGTTCAAAATGYTCAAACTATCCCATTAGGTCAAAAACCAGTGGATCAGAACTCCCACTGGAGATCCTGTTGCTCCACTGACCAAATGCCTGTGCACATAAGCGCAACACAACACTGGTTTTAGTTGCAAGTACTAAAAACGACACGTTATGTAACAAATAAAGAACTTCTTCTGCACCAACAAGGTGCAAAAATCCCATTACCAACATAACCAGTCAAGTTTTTGGTATTTGCTGCTGTTTTTTTTCTGTTTAGGCCACCACTCTTCAAAAGTTGTTCCAAATCAACTGGACAGAAAATGGGTCAAACAAACAACAAAGAAAAATCAAAATACATTAAAAAAATACCATCAGAAAAGCTGAAAAAYGTCATTGGAATCTAGAACTGCATGATATCTTGTTTGAGCACTGTCCTCAATAGTCACACTGTGGTTGCTTTCACCGGTGGAAGTTCACAGAGAACTGGAGGAAAATAGGTAAAATATGATTATATTAAACTAAGATAAATACAGAGGCAACACATTAGGTGGTAAAATGCAATTCAAGTTTGGACATGATACAAGGAAACATACTCAAGTCCCAGTGCAAGAAAAGATCAAGAAAACAAAAAACACACTGTAAGATTGCTGCAAGTTCATCAAGAACACAACGGCAGCGTAACATAAACTGTTACTTTAATCATCTGTTGAAAATTGCTGTATTTTTTTATCTCGCAATATATRTYGCAGGGTTAGAAAGATGAAAGATTTTACACCGGATGGCCTAAATGGTGCAACCGGAGCTCCAACCTACCATCTCAAGACCCCAACACTGACCGAGGTACCGCAGTTACCCCTCTTTAACTTACTCCTTTTAGTTTTTCAGCATTTTAGGTCAGGCTCAGCTTCTGCACAACCTTCAACGTCTGGCAAAATTAAGCATGCAGATGACAGTTTATGTAAAGTTGAGTAGGTGGGACTAGGTGCCGTGGGAGAGATTTGGACTGGAATTATGGTCACGCATAGAAATGAGTACACGGCAGAACAGCAACAGAACAACACAATTATGATGTGTTTTAATACAAGTGCAGACAGAATAACCTCCCACAGGTTTGATGCAGACTTTAATGGCATTTGTTGTTGGGTGCGTTCCCTCTGCTAAACTGAAACACGCCCGCAGCAGACAAATGTTTACCGAATCTCACTCATTCTGTCAGCAATTATGTCTGTAAATATCAAAAGAAACATGCGACAGCCTTCGCAAATATAACATTTTCCACAACTTTTGGTGCAGATTAAGATGTTGCATGATGAGTTTTAGCTGTAAATACCAACCCAGAAGCTATGAATTAGATCTTTTTTGTCATCCTGTGAAATTTGCACAGGTTTTAATCGACTCAGACCAGGCAAACACAACTGAAATACGGGCGCATGGGATGATTAATCTGAAATAAAGACTAAATTCTGAGCATCAAATGGAAAACATGCAGCAGAAATGTATAGCACAAACTCAAAAAAGACACAATGGTTCTGACACAGTAAATCTGAATTCCTTCTGTTATAAAGGGAAATATRTTTGTGTTTAAACAACAACAACCAGCATTCTCTTAGCCAGGGCCAGGGCTAACATTCCTGCTCCAACCCCCTTCAAATTAGTCTGGTTGGTATTAACGCCCCCAATTGAAACCCTCCTCATTAATCACAATGAGGATCTTGCAGGCTAATGCTTACTCAAAACCAGGTAGTTTAGCCTTGCTTTGACATACTGTTTCTTTACTCATCATCTAATGACTAAATTTTAGAGTTTTACTTGTGAWTAATTTGTCTGGGGCTCAACAATCTGCTAAACACATCTTTAGTTCAACATCGCCCCTTGATGCAACTGGAGCTGATTGTTCYAGCTTTTTTATAAAGCTTGTTCTCATAAAACTGTAAAACACTGAGATATTAGATTAAAAAGCCCGTTGCTCAAATCAGGGGCTACAGATGATAGTGCAAATTTGTTGGGTGCTTATGTCACAGCCCCACGCCATTGGCTGTAGTGTCCCAATTCAGAGACGCCGATTCACGTGGTCGACAAAAATCCCGAAAACGTAGAGACTGAGTATTCCATTCGTTGCACCGTCAGCAACCTGAACTGAAAAAGACAGCTGAGTTGTTTTTTTTGTTTGTTTTTATGACAAAGTTTGGAAATTATGTTTAGCAATAAGCTGATGAAAGTTCAGCCTACACTGGTGGACTATGGCCCATGAAACACAGCTATTAATGTACAGAAATGATAGGAKCTTAAAAAAACTTTAGCTGAATCATTTTAAGGCCATAAAAGTGCAATGTGCATAAAAATCAGGCACATTTGTCTCAAATTTGGGGGTTGGGGAACAGTGATATTTAAATACAGTGTGTTGAGATAACAGAATAAAATGTCTTTTTTGTTATGCTATAACTAAGGACCATCCATACAGCCAGCCATCCATCCATCCATCCATCCATCCATCCATCCATCCATCCATCCATCCATCCATCCATCCATCCATCCTTTCATTTTCTTCTGCTTATCTGTGACAGTAGGTCCATGAGAGAAACCCAAACCTCCCCAGCAACACACTTTTCAGCTCTTCCTGGGGTTTCCAAGGGCATTTCCAGGCCTGATGTGATAAATAATCTTTCTATCAACTTCTGTCTTCCCCTGCTTTTCCTTTTAAGATGGATGTATCCAAAACTCCTCCAAAGGAAAGTGAGCCAGATGCGAAGACAGCAGCTCAATTCCAAGCTCCTCAAGTTCATCGGTTCCATATAAGACTGAGCTTGGCTACAGAAGAAGATTATTTTAGCTGGTTTTACCTGGGATTTCAGTCTTTTTGTTGKGATTTATACCTTCTGACCACAGGTGAAGGTTGGACCAGTAAATCAAGAGCTGAGCTGAGCTCTTTCAGCACCATGACAGACAGGAACAATGCTCTCATTAGTGCTCRTGAAACTCTGATTTATCGCCCTCGTTCCATTCTGCCATCATTTGTGAACAAGGCACCAAAAATATTCA